CGCATGAAAGCTGAATTCGAAACCTTGAAGGGTGAATATCTTTATCCCGAGCTAATAGTTTACCCGAAAAAATTTTTACGAGGCCGTAAGTGATACTCAGTAGCGCGGAAAAGCTGAATTTAAATAGGCAAGGTTGAGCGTGGGCAAGGGGTCATTGCCCTAAAATTTTAGCCTCCCAGACTCCGTGGTTCCCGAGATATTAATTTACCAGTAAAAAAATTTCACAGTGCCGTACGTGTTAGCCGCGCGTACGGGGAAGCGGAATTTAAATTTGCGGGGTTGCACGTGGGTGGGGAACGTTCCCTTAAATTTTCAGCTTCCTGGCTTTTGTGGTTCCCGAATTGAAAGTTGCGGACAAGTTGCTGCGGACACAAACACACACACAAACAACCCCGTGACAATATGCGTTTTGTGCTGCTGTTACACAGCACAAAACGCATAAAAATTGGGAAATGTCAGTTCCTCGCCTGGCATTTCTCTCACTGGTGAGTTTGTTCCACTGTCTCGTGAATGAACTTTAAAATCGCCAGATCTGCATCGGATCATTCCATCCTAGACGTATTGGTAGATGTGACAATCTGAGGTTTCTGTACGCGGCAAATTTTGGCCTGGCTGGCGCAGTTTTCCGGATTTTCGAGCTTGCGACTGGGAATTAGAACCAGCCCATCGAGGGCGTATAAGAATTTTAGCAGTGAGCAGAAACGAAGATCGATCCTGTGTCTGTCGTATTTTTATTGGCCCCTGCGTGTGCTTCATCTCAGTCTTACTCTGGTCGCTGTGACCAGGTTGTGCCACCGTGATGTTGCTTCACAATGAAGTACAGGTAGTCAGACGAAGTTGAGTTATTTAGCATTATCGGTATGCCAGGTGTTGGTCTCGGAGGTTGTCCTGATTTACTGGGTCCAAGAAAAGATGTTTTCGGTACTGAACTAGAAATTCGGATGCTATCAGCCCCAAATTATATGAATTGCTGTCTCAGTGCGGCATACGGCTCAGGGGGGTTCCCCACCACCGCATCCTGCTGAATCTGTTCGCGCCGCTTGTATCTCATCAGCTTTGTGAAACGTTGTTTTCTCAGGTCCGGATTCGTTGAATTCTCTCTAAAAATAGCGCAGTTATTTTGCCTGGATGACCGCTGTTAGCTAAAGACTGGAAATTTTCCGGTGACTGGTTTGAGTTTCTGGAGGCCCCAACAGGACGGGGCGTTCCGCATTCATGATTTTTCGGAAAAGATACATCGATTTTTTTTTTAACTTTTTCTGTACTCATCAACAAGATATGTTAGCCGTTTATAAAAGCTGCTGAAGTGGAATTGAAGCTTTTCGTGATTGCTTCGAAAATGCTGTAACTTAGAAATCATCCCTCTCTTATGAGGCCGTTCAGCGTTGCTAATCTCCTTACTGATGCAGGTGGCTTGCTGGCCCTCGGCTGGGCAGTGACTGTGATGCGCTGCTGGCTCGGTTCGCTAGTATGCCGGCTGCATGCAGTGTAGTTGCTTCTCGTTTCAGGCGCTGGACTATGTTGTTGGAATTGGCCTGGCTGGTGCTCCTCGCACTGCGTGGATGTCGAGTGGCTGCCACTCGAAATTTGATTTCGTTAAGCGAAGATACATGGACTGACATACTGCATGGTGAATGGATGGTTGAATTGTTAGTGCTTTTCATCGTTTCTGTTTCTCACAGGTCCAGAGCTGGGCACTGGGGCTTCTGCGCTGAACAGTGCGCTCAGACGTGGCATGCCATCGATCGGAAGAGCGCTTGCTCGGGTATTCTGTGCTCTCGGCTCGCTGCGTGCACCACCGATCACTGTTTTGCTTACCAGTAGTGTTAATCTGAGGGATTAGCTGAAGTGGGCAAATACGCTGCAGACGCTCCTGTTTGCTGTTGTGCCGGGTGCGGGTGCTTCTGAAGTGTGGATTGCTCCGTTGAGGCTGTTCCGGAATTGAGCGGACCTGTGTTTTGTTTGATGGCTGATGGTTAGGTTAGGATTACAGTAGGAATTTTAGTTTCTTTCGAATTACTCGAATTGCTGAAGCACGCCCTTTTTGCGGTGCAGCAGTGGATTAGTGCTGGAGAGTAGATTTCTAGGCGTGTGCTCGCATGAGTTTGCTTTCTGTGAAGTAACTTCATGCCGGGATGGGAGGGACGGTATTGCTGGAAAAAAAAATTTTGTTATTCTAGCCATGCTCCGTGGTGCCCAGCCTGCAAAGACTTACAGAAAGCATGGCACTCATTCGCCGATTGGAGCCGTGATCTCAATATCAATGTTGCTGAAGTTGATGTTACTCGGAATCCAGGATTGTCTGGTCGTTTTCTTGTTACTGCACTTCCCACCATCTACCAGTGAGTTTCGTCTTCATTCCTCACTTGCTTCGTTCTTGTTCATTTTGAGAATTAGTGCTATTGAAGAATACCATTTTTGTATTTTCAGTCAAAAATTGTATGTTAGTATCAAGGATCTCTAGTCAGTTCACTATGATTTTTCAGACTTTCAGCTCCCTAACTTCTGTTATTTCAAGTTGATTTATTCGGACGGATACACACAGATAGTTTCTTCTCTCGCTCTCCCCATCGCAAACACATATACACACGCAAGAAGGGCGTGATCTCTTTTCTACGCCCTTTTGTTTTTTGTGAAAACAGATGGCGACCCATGAAACCGCCCGACATCAGTACTATTATAGGCAGAGACATTTCATAAAAATACCTAAGTTGTAGTGTCAAGGATGGCGTGTTTCGTCAATATTCAGGACCTCGCGATAAAAACGATTTTATCAGCTACATCGAAGAAAGGAAATGGACATTTTATGATCCAGTTCCGAGCTACAAGCATCCCAATTCACCCCAGTAAGCTTTTTCCTCATCTAATGCTTTTATGCGTTTTTTGCATCTATGCAATGCAGAAACGCTTATTGACGAGGTGTTGTCTGTGTAAGTGTCTGTGTGTTCGTCTGCACCGATTTTTCATCTCGAGACCTAAAAAAGCTGCAGAGCTGAAACTTTGGAAACTTAATCTACATACGTGTACGGGCCCTCATTTCCAAAACGGGCGCTCTCACTCACGTACAGGCCCAACAAATTTTTTTTTTTTTCGAGTAATTTGCTAACTCGGGAACATGAGAAGCTAGAA